TTAATTTTTTTTTTGTTAAATTCTTTGTTTTTCATTTTGAAAATAAAAAAGATTTTTTTTTTTTTTTTTTTTTTTTTTTTTTTTTTTTTTTTATAATTATTATTTTATTTATTTTTTCCCCTTGAGGAAATTCAAGGTTATTTAAATAGTATTTTTTTATTCCTATGAAAATCCAAACAAATCCAAACCTAAATAGATTAACTGGATTTCCAGTTCAAATAATAAAATGGACATTACCGAAATTTACTTTACTTGTGTTTGATTGGTTCGTTTTATGAGCAAAAAGGAGTAGGGTAAAAGGATAATATGTAATATGTAATTTTCACAATATTAATTACACTCAAAACAAGTTTAAACAAATGAGTTAAGTGAAGTATTAAATGTAAACAAAACATTCATCGATTCTGTAGAGATAGAGTAATTAATTGTCTCAAGATTTCATTTTACAATGAGAATTAAAAAAAATAAGGGCGGATTTGACAAATATTTGATTACAAGAAAGGAAATCTTTACTTTATGTTAATCATGTTGGTTTTGTTATTGTAACACAAAAGTCATTAGACAAGGATCGATTATAGATATAGGATATATCGATTCAAATAAAATATTTAATAAAACATAAAATTCATTGCAAAAAATACTTTGAAATGTTAACAAGGTCAATAAAAATAAAAATAAAAATTTAAAAATAGAAGTGAATACGTAATGTTACACGAAATTAATTGTTATTTACCCAAATTTACCACATGATAAACCCTGAAACGAATCCTGTCGTGTGTCATTGTTTTACGACCAATTTTAACCGATCGGTCTCTCATATGGTTTTAACGACTTATCATCCAATATGTTACATTCAAAACTTCAGCATTTTGCCCTTATTTATCAATGGAGATCCTTTTAAATCATACTTATCTTTGATCACAAAAAATTCGTCTCAAACAGATTATTGGTTGCATGACGATCCTATAATCTGCTGGACCCTCACAATTCCACATGACAATGACTTTGGTTGACCAACCATATTTTAATTAATAAACAGATAATTCTTTGTATGCATAAACTACATACCTTACTTTTTCGAAATAAGATACTACTTTATTACTATGATGACGCTTAACTTTGGGTATGTTTTTATAAGTGCGAATTTTCGGTACAAGATAATTTTGAATTCATTATACGAAAATTCGTGTGACTTTAAAGGGAGTTCTTGTCTATGGATTCTGTATAAAGAATTAATCATAGGTGTCTTCCTTCGTATATATCATGGAAAGTTATAAATTCATGGCGTATTTCGTTTATTCTTGAGTGTGTTCTTGTTCTTTCTGTGAACGTACTTCGATGTCTTCCACGCCCTGGAAGTTTAAATTGGATATAAGGATCAATGAATTGAAAGCTCATCGTGGCCACTGTCAAAGAACGACTATGAATGTTCTATTCTACTTGGTTCTTGATGATAATGACGTAAATACCTACATTTTACAGTATTACTTATTTTTTTTAGTGGCCAGGATAAACATCAAATGCAAATTATTGGGAAATCAATTTGTGGACAATTTTATTTTATTTTCAATTTTTATAGAAACTTTTTTTTTTGTATTTATTAGTTCTTGGAACCCTGCATGTTATATTTGCTTTTATTTGAAACCTTTATTATACAATGTATATTTTGTTCATACTGTCAATTTATTCAAAAAAAAAAATAAAAATTGTTTTTTGATCGACACATCGTTACGTCGTAATATGTAAATTGAAGTAAAATTGTTTGTTTGTCACACACAGTAAAAAAATATTCTTACATATCTGTGTTAGTCGCAAATCATATGACGTCTCAGATGACCTCACACTGCGGCGAGATAATCAAAGTTATTTAGTTTGTTAGCTTGGTTTCGGTACAATTCCAGGTCTAACAACGGTATAATATTCCCATTACATAATTAACGTTTATCGATAAGATATAATAATATTACAACCCTTGTAATACATGTACTTTAATTCGTCATTATCGATCGGAAATTCTAAGTTTTATTGATTTGTATATTGTTAAATATTTTGATTAAGTCAAAATATGTTAAAGAAGAGTTATAATTAAAAGAGTTATAGTTGGTCTGTTGTATGATCGTTGGACTTTTAAATTAGCATTAATACGATGATTTCAACGTGGGTGTCGCATTAGAAAATGGGTATGCAGGTAGTAATTAAAAATTTTGATTTATTAAATTAAGGCTAGTGAAACACAAAATGCATAAGATTTCTGATGTTTTCGATGTGTTTCGGTGCGATTTCGATTTTTTATTATAAATGATCGACAAATCACCTGAACACACTAACCGCTATAAAAAGATGATTTTGATAGCTAATTTTTTTTTTTTTAAAAAAAAAAAAAATAATAAGTAAAGAAAGTTAATTTATTTAAATAAAATTTATCAATGAAATATACTAGTACATCTTTGCTTGCCTTTTACTTCCGGAAAATGTTTTGCATATTATTCCTGTTATTTCTCTAGTTTCAGTAAATACAGCTTATAAAATTTTAGTAACACAGCATTCTAATCAAAATATTTTTTTGTAGGATTTTACTAAAAAAGGATTATTGATTTGTAATTAATTAATTTATTCATTTAATTTAAAATGGCATCTGAAAATGGAATACCCAACAAATTACCGAGTTTATCAGACTAATGACAATTAACTCAAACGCAAGAATATTGGTATTCATCTTCAGTTATATATACATCTCATCTTTTTCTTGCTGCATAATATTGTGTGACATATGTATTAAGTAACTTTTTCGCAATGGAATGATTTTTGTAAAGAATTCACTGTAGCAGAATAGTTAGAATATTTTCACCAAATATTGAATTATGACGGTGCTTCATATGTGAAGTTGCATTCCACATTAAAAAGCGAAGCATAGCAACCGTGGGCTTGGGATTTATCAGGTATCATTAGTACAGTGATTTTTCAGATAAGTTTGATCACGGCTACGAGATCTCTAAAAAACAGATCAATTTCAAGCATCTTTCCTTGCACTTTACGTGCTTATAGTCCAGTAATATAAAATTCATTATCCGGAACACCAATATCCTTCCTGTAGCTAGATTATCATCTGAATTACTCATAAACTAACTTTTGTGAAAGTATTCGCAAGTCGTTTTCACCAACTTCATAAAGGCAACTTCTCATCGCTGTACAATCAAACTACTTGCAAATTATTTTCTTCTGATTTACTTTGTTGTAATTGATTTTTTTGCATCATGGCATTAAAGAAAACATTATTTATATACAATAGTTTTGAAGCAGTTAATAAATGACTCTTAAGAATGCTAGCTTTTTCAATCAAAACACGAATTGTTCCAATCCACAATTCCATGATAACTTTTGGGCCGGAATTTTTGTTATGAATAATATCTTCAAGTTGGGCGGCAATAAAGTGTTAAAAGGACAGAAACAATAATTAATAATTTAAAAGTTGCCACACTAGATTTTTTAGTTAAATTGTTTATACGGTAATCTTCAGAACTGTATTTCGTGTAGTTGCCTCGTGCATAAGCTAACCACAATTGGGAAAGTTGTAGAGCGGAAAGAAGTCTCCGATTAAACTTCTGGAAATAATAAAGTAATTTTTATATCACGGAAATATTATATATTAGGGTCAATTAATTATTTTAAAAGAATTTGAAAAATTAAGCATTTATAAAACGAAAACTTTATTTATTTTAATAGCATCAAAATTAATTTTATAGACATTAAATCATTTTTATTAGAATCAATCTTATTATAATATATATTATTTGAATTGGGTAATCTTAGTTTTCACATTATTAGGTTTTCTATAAATTTAGTTCATTCATTAAAAATATTATGTAATTACAACTTTAATTTCACTTTATTTATTGGATAACATATTAACTGAAATAAGGTGAAAATTTTTTGTGTTTAATTAGGAACTAAAAGTGACCAAAATGACAAGTAAAAATATTGGTAATACATACCGCGGATACCTCTGAAGAAATTAGAAAGTATTTTAGGACTCCAAAAATTGTTATTAATTAAATTTTCTTGTGAAACGTTCATTCATTGTGCGACAGATGTGGCTTAGAAATTTGATTAACGTTACATGGTTACCGCCTGCATTTTAATTTTATTTTATTTTGCTTTCCTCCAAGAATTTTAAATTTACAAAATTGAATAAATCAAAATGCAAGCTGCCAACAATTCGAATGAGTGGGTTAATTGGATTGAACAATCTATCTCACAAAAACATATTAAGTATTATGAATACAAACATTTTAGTGATGTTCAAGAGATTGGCATTGGCAGCTTTGAAAAGTTTATCGTGCCACTTGGAAAGGTTTAAAGCAACATCTTGCGTTAAAATCGTTTCATAAATTCGACAACACCACTATGAAAGCACTTGTTCGAGAGGTAATTACAAAATATAAAATGTATTTCGGTCTATCTATTTCAGTCTGTTTAGTATAGGATCGTTTATATATTAACCTAAAATTTATATTCGCAATAATTGTAGCTTGAAATTCAACGAGAAGTGGATTTTCATGATAATATTATCCGCTTTTATGGGATAACTACTAATCAAGGTAAATCTTCATCATTATGTTTATATATCGAATTTATATTTTGTTTTAAATCATTATATGTTTATAATTATAATTATTATTTTTTTTTTTTAAAAATAAAAAAAAAAATTTAGAAAATCAATTGAAAAAGTATTGGTTAGAATGGAGTATGCAGAAGACGGTGAACTTTAAAGCTATTTGAAGGATAATTTTAATAAGCTTACTTGGAGATAAATACAACTTTGCATTTCAGTTGGCAAGCGCTGTGTCGTGTTTACATAAAGAACGAATTGTACATCGTGATCTGGTAAGTTTGCACAATATCTATCTTTTGTTTATTATTATTGCAAAAAAAAAATAATAATTTATGTATAGCATTCCGGTAATATATTAATTCGTCAAGGTATTATTAAACTAGCTGATTTTGGTTTATCGAAAAGAATTGAATCAGTCAAAAGTTTTTGGAGTAATTCCTTATGTTGACCCAAATTTTTTAACAAACGAAGAGGGGACAATGCATCATCACAATTTAAACTAAATGAAAAGAGCGACGTTTACAGTGTCGGCGTGCTCTTTTGGGAGATATCAAGCGGTAGTCCTCCTTTTTATGTTGAAGGCGAACAATATGACATTAATTTAGCTATAGACATTTCACAAGGACTTAGAGAAAAGGTCATTCCTGGTACACCTGAGGACTATGCGAAAATTTATACCGGTAAATATGTTAAAATATCAACTTAAAATTACGATTACAATGTTTTTGATTAATAGATTTCTACATTTTCAGAATGCTGGGATAATGATCCAGATAATCGTCCATTAATGAATCAAGTAATTGAAAAATTGAATACAATTCTTACGATATCAAACATAACAGTAGATAATCAAACGATTAATTATGAATCAAATCTTCAATCGCCAGAACTACAACCTTATTCTTCTAATACATCAAATGGAGATTTATCTCGAATTATTCAAAATTTTGATCAGGCAAATTATGAATCATTATCGGAACAACTGCAAATTAATTCATTCAACGAGGAATTATCTCAAAATTTTAATCAGAAGAATGTAGAAGAATTAGAATCAAATATTGAAGTATCAGATATTGTTTATGATGATACTATTGAAAGTTTAACGATTACGGAATTTAATAAGGATGACATATTAAACGCTTTAGGAGGATTGCAAAGATATCGGAAATTAAAAGTACTTAACTGTAATAATACTCAGGTAACCAGCTTACCAATTTTACCTAGCTCCTTAACGGTACTCAGATGTTATAGCGCTAAAATAAATAGCTTACCAACTTTACCCGACTCCTTAACGGAACTTAATTGCGCTACTACTCCAATAACTATCCTACCAACCTTACCCAACTCCTTAACGGAACTTTATTGCTCTTCTACTCCAATAACTATCCTACCAACTTTACCCAACTCCTTAACAAAACTCATTTGTTATAATACTCAAATAAATAACTTACCAATTTTACCCAACTCCTTAAAGAAACTTTATTGCTCTAATACTCCAATAACTATCCTACAAACCTTACCCGACTCCTTAACGGAACTTGACTGTAGGAATACGCCGATAACTAGCTTACCAAATTTACCCGATTCCTTAATGAGTATTAAACCTAAATCTTTAAAAAACACAACACCTCAATAACTATCCTGCCAAATCTAATAAACCTACTGTTTGATATGATAAGCTTCACATCAATTAAAACTCTGATTGTTAAATTGTTCAATCTAAAGGTTTTTTCATTTATTATAAAACGTTAAATATTAGAAGTTTTCATTTTTGTTTTTAATTATTTTTTTTTTTTAGCAACATTGTAAATTACTATTATACTATACAGTATAGGGATTGAAGCGATTCTAATAAAATTAATAAAATTGAATTAATCGAAATCGATTTTAATCGATAATCGTATTAAAAAGTGTTTAACTATATCGAGTGTAAGTTGAATTAGATTTTAGTTACAAAATATATGAACAAATGTAACTTTGGTTGACAAATATTCATGTCCAATATTTAATAATATAAATATTAAACCATGCATAAAATTGTATAAATTGTAAAAAAATTGATTTTCGCGACAAATTATTATCATTAAACTAGCAGTTTTACCCTGGGTAGCTAACATGACGTGAAATATTTTTTTAAAGTTTAAGCATATCAAAATTTAAAATAAGTACGTCAACTCTCTCTACAATCACATCCTTTATAGTGTGATTGTATAGAGGTGTGCTTATACTTGTGATTATGTAATTTTAGAAATTATAGTTTATCTTTTATTTCTTTCGCTTGGTTGTTGTTTAACAACATTATCTTCTTTTTTTTAGGTCTTTTAGCATTTCAACTGTAAGTTAGTTCGTTTCATTTTCTTCCTTTGCTTCACTTTATTCATTAAATTGGTTGTTGTTTAACAATCATTTTCTTCTTTTTTTAGGTCTTTCAGCATTTTGGCTGGATCTAAGGTGGTGTTGGCTTGGTATCTGTAAACTAAAATGATTTACTTTTAATTCGATATGTAGTATTAAATACAAGACTTTATCACAATCATGACTATAGAAGACACAACAAAAGGTAATAGAAAATGAATTTATAAGATTTCTTTATTGAACTCTCGGTTTATTCTAAAACCCTATCTCGAGTTACTTTTTAATTCAAGAAAAAATACAAGGTATTCATACAAAATAAAATACTATAAAATAAAATATAACAAATGTAATATAAATTATAATATAAATATAATAAATAGAATAATTATAATAAATGAAATAAATGATATAATTAACAAATATAATGATTATAATATTGCTCTAATTTATTCACTTTATTAAATCTGTTAATCATTTTCAATCATGTGACTAATTGATAGCATTCACATATCACAGCTTCAATAATAAGTTAGTTTATTTCATTTTCTTTTTTTACTTCATTTATTCTTTTACTTGATTATAAATTATATAACTATTTTCTTTTTTTCTTATTTTGTTTTAATCTTTTGTTTACTTTTTTTTTTAGATATTTTTTAGCTCCTTAGTACTGGATTCTAAATAGATATGATAAGTTTCATTTTCTTATTTTATTTTATTCTTTCATTTGTTTAACATTTTTAAATTTTCATATTCTTTTTTCTTTATTTAATATAAAATCAGAATTAGCTTAAATAGGACTGATCAGATTGAATAAGGTATTATTTGCTATAATATTTAACTTTTCAAAAAGTAAAAAGTTTTAAAAGAAAAAAATCAGATTTTTTTTGTTAAAAAAAGATTGATTACATGATTATCAATTCAAATTAACTGTATATAATTTATTGAGATTTATTAATTTATTTTATACTATAATTGGCTGGTATAATTAAAATTATTTAGGGATAAGATTAGAATTAGAATTAGGTGTTAGATGATTTATAAAAGATTTAAAATTTTTCAATGAGTTAGATTTATTTGTCACACTATAGAATATTACAAATAAATATAATTAATTATACTAATTAATCGAAGAATGAGACTAAATTAATAGAACTAATTTATTAATATTTTTAACTTAACCCTGATATTTACACTAATTCATTATTGTTATTTTATAAAAATCATATCTGATTCTAATTCTAATATATATTATAATCAATATTAACTAGTTTCAGCTATCTAAAAAAAAATTCATAATTTTAGTATTACAAATATAATGAATTAATTGATCTAGATAAGAATCTCTATTAACTTTATAATGAATTATTCAGTATATATAATGAATAATTATTTATAGTATTAAC